CGTGAGCAAGTAGAGCGGACTGAATCGAGTCAAAAAGTCTTATGCCATTTTGCAATTTTTGCAAATAGTTAACGAGATATTAATTTTTGAAGATAGTCGAATAAGTGCGTTCGCCTAGCCTAAGCCGAATAAGCGCATTTGCCCGGCCTATTGCCAAGTATACACCCATCAATCATTCAATGGAAGCGGATTGCGGGGAATGTAAGCGCTCATAGAGTAATTGGTTATTACAAATGGTAATGGCCGTTACAGTAGCACGTAATGCTGGACTTTAGCTCTGAGCTACGATTGTCTCGTTTTTCTTACTAAGAATGCGTTCTGAATTTCGCATGATGCATCATTTGTTCTTGTTGTTCACCAAATAATAAAGAAGGATAAAACAATAAATCATGCGTTTTATGCGTAACTCGGAACGCACTCTTATAACGCTTCGCTTGCTGAGCTAGCTATACTACTATCCAGATCAAAATTTTCTAACAACGCAGGAAAAATATATTTACAATTAACGTACTTAATAATACAAGCCTTGATTAGAATAACAGCTAAAAATTAATAAAAGAACTACAAGTGAATGACTGAAGTTAGATGTTAGTGCTAAATTATTAAACTGATAAAACATATTATATGATATTATTAAGTACAAAGGAACTTTACTTTTCATATAATGCAGTATTAAACTGGAATAAAATACCTTTTCTACATATTATATAGGAAAAATTATTTTCAAATTACAACAGTTTGAAAAATTTATCGGAACGAAATGAAATGTATTTTAAAACTAACAATACTTTTGCGTGGGATTAATGAAATTTAGAAAAAAAATATTTGCTCCAGTTATTACAACGTCATAAACATTCTCATTTTTTGCCTCTTCAATATAATTTTTCTCAAAATTGTGGCATAGCCTTTAGATCATGGATTCGTATAACTTTGCTTCCGCCGTTTTCTTATAGATGGCTTTAGCGGTAAGTGGTGGTCGAAATAAATAGATCATAGACGTCATACAATAAACTTGGGCATCTGTCAACATAACCCCATAGAAACATTAGTCGATTTGTGTCTGCATCATAAAGTTATTCTCGATTGAAAATATCAGTTTACGAGCCAAATTCTCGTCATTTGCGGGAGGTTTTAATTTTTTGCTTCAATATGAAGAAATCTGCGGCTGAGGTTCATCGAATACTCTCAAATACTTATGATGAGGCCGCTATTAGTAAAAGAACGTGTCGTGAGTGGTTTTAACGCTTCAAGAACGGTGATTTTGACGTCCAAGGTCATGCTCTGTATTTGGGGGGACCAGCTCGGCGTAGTGTATTATGAACTGTTAAAACCGACTGAAACAATCACAGGCGATCGGTATCGAACGCAATTGATGCGTTTGAGCCGAGCATTGAAAGACAAACGGCCGCAATACAACGAGAGACACGATAAAGTGATTTTGCAGCATGACAATGCTCGACCCCATGTTGCGAAAGTGGTCAAGACATACTTGGAAACGTTGAAATGGGAAGTCCTACCCCACCCGCCGTATTCTCCAGACGTTGCTCCCTCTGACTATCACTTGTTTCGATCAATGGCACACGGCCTGGCTGACCAGCAATTCCGGTCTTATGAAGATGTAAAAAATTGGATCGATTCGTGGATAGCCTCAAAAGATGACCAGTTTTTTCGACGCGGGATTCGTACGCTACTCGAAAGATGGGAGAAAGTAGTGGCCAGCGATGGACAATACTTTGAATCATAAATGTATAACCAGTTTTTTACAATAAAGCCTCGAATTTCGGAAAAAAAACGGCGGAAGCAAAGTTGTACACCTACATCAAGTTTTTTCGGCAAAATTTTAGCAACATATTCTACAAAAAAAACAAAAAAAATGTTATAAATGTTATGTTATAAGCTCATAAATGCTTTATTCAAAAGTTATAACGAAAATATAATAATAACAACGAACTGTTTCTTTGTTTGACACTATTGCTATTATGTTTTATATATATATATATATATGTGTAAGCATACGTATAGATATATACACGTAGATATAGTACACACAAAATATACATTCTTCTAATTAAAAAATTTTAATTAGAAGTTCTGATAAGAAGGACAGGAGAATAATCAACTTGGAGCGCAGATCCAGCGCCACTCGTGCGCAACCGCATAGTAAACATTGTATGTAGCAAGGGTGCGATTCTGTAACTGTTTTATACGCCTACCGATAGTTGTCGGTGTCGTTGGGCTTTTTCATCATATAAAATATCTGCGCAACACCGACAACTGTCGGTAGGAGTGTAAAACAGTTACAGAATATAGGCCCAGGTAGCTGTAAACAACTTCCCGTTTGCCTCGCACTTCACATTGCGTTTGCAATGGATGGATTCATTCATTTTTTTAGTAATAAATATTTCGATAATTATTATAAAACTTTTTGATTCAGTTTAACTCGCTCTATTTATCTATAAACGTTGTTATACCTAATATTAAAATATACAGAGTATCTAATAATTCTCTAACACTCACAGGCAAATAAAACGGACTAAACTGAGTCGGAAAGACTGAGTCCTTTACTATTTTACAATTTTCGCAGTAGTTAATAAAATATTAACTTATAAAGATCACCGAATAAGCGCATATTCGCCGAATCAAATGCACGTC